CACAGTTAATTTTCTCATGAAAAAGGGGTATAAATATAATACGCAGTAAATGCACATCAGAAGGGTTGTAGTTTTCCTTTCGGTGGGGAATTAAGCTACTTGTTTTCTCAGGATGAAGATTATCAAATGTACATGTATATCATTTACTGGACAGAAACGGTTAAGAGAGAATCTACACATGCCACGTATGTACTTTTTGGTTTCAACATACCATACATACACAGGTTTTAAATGACCCGCCTTACTTTCATTCATTATTTTTATTTGTTACATATAAAACGTGAAATTCTTCTCCACAGCTGCAGTCGTTTCATATCATTACATATAGTAATAACTACATATAGTATAACTACACATAATAAAATACAAAATATGTATGATTATGCATGCATTTCCAGTGGTGCGAAGACCAAGACATACATGTAGCTCTACCGGTAGACAAGAGATTCGGATGCAGCCTAAACGGTCTCAGGGACAATAATATCCAACATGAACTTTTTCCATTGATAAATTTTTACTTTCAGCTTCACCTCTACCTCTTACTTCCTTGGTTTCATTAATTTTGATATGTTGCTTTTGTAAAAAATTGAATCTACACTGAGCAGTGGAATCCCCAAGGTCAGGGACCCTAAGTCAACCCATTTCGCAAATAGAGATGATGTACATGTACATGTACATTTACATGTATACATATACACATAAACTAAGATTTGAGGAATGTCCATCAAATGTACATTACACACGGTACATGTACTTGTGTGATATTAAAGCCTTAGGTACCATTGAATAACAAGCACGGATGTACATGTACTCACTAACAAATGCTAGTAGAATACATGTACATGTACGTGACAGGCTGTTCCCGTCCAAATTTCAGGCATATGCCTCCACCCATATTTGCTTTTACCAGCAGCCGAGTGCATGCACTTCGAGTTGGATGTGTAAATTAGGCCTTTTGCATACAGCACTGGCACAAGTTGGTTGTTTATGGGGTCTTGCAAATCTAGTATCCATCTCTTAGAACCCAATATGAGGAATTGGTGCACTTTGCACTTTAGCGTTGCACATTAAACGTCATCCAAATAAAAATAATGTGATCTTTGTATGGACTGAGAATGAAGACTTGCCGTATTTAACTAGTGACTCAGTGTAATTAATTTGGTTTCAGATTGATAAAGAAAGAAGAAAAAAGTTTAAAATGAAGTGGTCATTCTAGCAGGAAATTTACACATGTATGTTTAGGTAAAAGAAGTTTGAATGACATGCACACATACATGTATTCTGTTTAATTTAGTAAACCTGAAAAGACCTGAATTCATTTCCACAATTTTGTTGAGATCAAATGGGTAAGCACTCATGATTCTCATTGTTTTCACTGGTCACTTTTGGTAAAAGATTCTAGACATTTAAAAAGTGTGTTGTACATTTTTATTTGGCCAATGTGAACTTGGTGGGCTTGAAGAGATACATGTGCATGTACTGTACACATACATGTACACGTACCTGTATCTGCGTGATGAATGCAGCCGTCATTTTTCATTAATGTTTATTGACTTCAAATGAGGATATTTTATTGAAAGGACCTAATTGGCACTTAACTTGGTGTAATTCCCTGCCAAGGTGATGATGACAGTGTGAAAGAAAGAAAAACTAGAAGGATTATGTCGCCAAAATCAAGGAAATGAAACTGCTGTGATTCACTATGTATTCACAGAAAGACTTCCGCTCTTAATCCTCTCAGTTTGCAAATTATCCTTGAAATCGTTCTTTCTGGAAACAGCTAAACAGTTTCTGATCCTGAATGGGTGACCATGCCAGGCTGATATTAATTTCCAGTTGAATCATATTTTAAAAACACTTGAGCAATTAAAAAAACAAAGAGTATTTAGAAATTAGAAGCCTGTCTCTGCAGATAGCAACAATGTTGCGCATGTATTTGGAAACTGCAAACTTCATTGCTTAAAGATACATGAAGGCCTACAACATTCATGGAAATGCACACCAAAACACATGCTCATACATGTATAATACATTCAACTTGGGTAAATCCATCTAATATTGTACCACAAATAAGCAACATGTAACGGTACGTGTAGGTAAACACTGCTTTTTTCATAGAATATTTGGTGTAAAAACATCAAAGGTTTCGCATGGGAAATAACAGTAATTGTGGGAAGGCTCCAATGACTTGTTTTTATGCCTTCCAATTTGTACCTGAAATGCACTAGCCTCAGATGATCAATAAAATATGGCAGGGCTTTATGATAAAGTTAAAAGGAATTAACACAGACTGTTTGTGACAAAAGTCCTCCCCCTTAAAAAAAAGAGGAAAGAAAAATAGCCAAGTAGGTCAAGTGGTTTCTTACCTGCAGTACTTAGATAGTACCACATGAGGATATGCATTTTCATTCAGGCCAGAAGAAAGTCCCAGAACTATGACTGACTGGACTGAACTCTTCAATAGTTGTCTCATCAAAGCCACAAAGTTAAGAGACATTTGAAATGGCCATCATGCAGAATAGTCATGTGACCCTCAGATTTATCCTTGTAGATGGCAAAGCTGTTTATGAAGGCCCCATCAGCCAGTTTCAACTTTTCTCAGATTCTGTGTTTGTTCTATGGATAAATTTATACATTAACCCTTATATCTGTGGTCTTGGGTGGATCCAGGGGGGCATGGGGGGACGCACACCCCGCTCCCTTTTTTCACCCCAAAAATAAAGATTCATGTACATGTGAATAAATAAAAACAGATGGAGGGAGAAGAAAAAAAGAGGTGTCATTATCCATGTACTGCATGAATTGAAACCACAGAGTGCCTGCAATATAAAATGGTTCTAGACCCCATGCCGTACAGGCATTTTTCCATTACTGCTTTAGTTCATTCCCATTCCCCCAGGCAAAATCCTGGATCTGGCCCTGGTGGTTGTGGGCAAAAGGTTGTGGGCAAATCTTTGGTTACAAAGGATTATCTGACCTTATTATATCACAGGAGTGGAGAGGGTTATACAAAACACTGCATGTGAAACAAACGTGGATTTGATGATGTGTGTATTATTATTTTACAGGTATACATTTACATGCAATTAAGTGCATTTTAAATCAGACTTTTCCTCCCTTAAACTACTGATATTGATCAAGGATGTTTCAGTTCCTCTGCATCTTTCAGTTGAATCATCTTCAAATAAAGTTGCATATATGTGTGCTGTGAATGGTCAGAGGTTCATAATATTGACAGAAAAGGGCAAAAAATAAACCCATTCATTCTAAAGACATTCATGTCTCATGAAAGAGTCAAGGTGTCATGAAAATGTTGATGTATAAGTAGACTATGACAAAGAAATTGCTTTTCAGATTTGTTTTACGTCTAGTCATCAAAACAGGTTTCCCTGAAATGCCAAAATGTGAAACAAGTGATTTAAATGTGAAAGAATGCGAAGGAAAAGCTATTAATTACTGCATCTAGACTCTTTGCTTTGCATGCATTCTGCAGCGGTACAGCGCATATTGTATGCTAGTAAATTGATTCAGACTTGGAGTGCATGTAAAGTTTGCTTAGAGTTTCCTGTGGAACAAGTGCCAAAAATGTCTAGACTCTACAAATTTAGATCTGGCAAATCTGGGTTGTGTGGTTTGTCACTACAGCCCCCACTCCAGCTGATACATTTTATTTATTCCTATGGGAACCGTGTTTCTTAAAACACAGGACTGCTTGTTTACAATGGAGGAAGGGCCTTTCCAAAAGACATGCAGACCATTAAATGTTTCCTATTTACAGTTACATGTACTTTTTAAAACGTGTCTCATACATGTAGTTTATGCATTATAACATAATTTTCCATTAATAATCCATGTGTAACCCTCACTTGCTGCTTGGGGATGAAAAACCTGAGATCAAAACACTCTGTCTGTTCTGCATACTTGACTTTTAAAAGGAAGTCAGTACTTTGAGCACCTGTGACCCAAGAGCACAAGATCTTCAGGTTTTAGGTACCTTGGGCCAGTGTAATTTTGCCAGAATGACCCAAAACATAATGTGTTTGTAGATCCTGCAAAATGAGTCTTAGAACAGTCTGTATTAGTGAGGTTCATATTTTGATATATCTCTCAGTTAAATAGACTGATAGAAAAGAAGCATTATGCTGGTGAAAAATGTTATGAGAGTTTCTACATGTATTGGTGCTGCAAGACTTATTTAAAGGCCTTCTGATATGAGCTCAGTAGTCATGTCAAATCTCTTAACTAAGGAGAGACAGGCAGCATTGCAGAACTGCCCCTGCTGATTATACCAGTATGCATTTTGTTGATGAATGTTGTCAGGGTAGGCCCGTGAAAGACATGCACGTTGGTGATAATGTACAGTATCTCTCACTTGATATTTATGGTACATGTGTACCAGTGCGTGTACTAGTACCGATAATAAGTATTTGGTCCATTACAATATGACTAAGAAATTAAATACAAGTAATCATCCACAAATTGTACATTTAGTTCATGAAAACTAAAATATGTTGAATTGAAGTGCCAGTTTTAAGCATTAGTTGTGGCACATATAACCTAAATAAGACATTTTGTTCAAATATTCTTAGGGTTTTGGATGTCATTTTCTTTCGGTTTTTTGTAGAAAGTTGCACGCACCATCTCTTCCTCAACTGTCATTGTCAAGGCACCGTTCAATTATATGGAAATTACTTGAAGACTGTACTCAATTACAGTGTTAGTAACCATTTCTGGCTCTTTTGTCTGACTGGGTGTATACCTTTGTGCACACATGTCCAATGTGCCTGTACATGTAGCTTCGTGCACCATCATGTACATTTATACATGTTAATGTTCAAGTTCGTGATGTGTCTAAGCTTAGAAGGAACTCAACGACCTTCCCCTCGACAAATTAATGGTGCACTTGGACTGCTAATTGCTTGCATTGTGTGACTCATGCTGATGACTTGAATTCACACATTTAATTCCCTTTGAACTTTTTTTCTTGGCGCGCTCCACAGGGTTGAGGCTGAGAGACTGAGCCGGCTCAATGGCATTTTACGGGGCATCCAACTGGGCAATTTCAGGTGAGTGTCACATATTGAGCCTTCTGCAACCAACGGTATTCAGAGATGTGAACTTGTGAAAAAACAAGCATCTACTTTTGTGAGTTACCCTTGCAGGATTCTCATACCTTACTTCCAAAAATGCCCCTAACATAATACAAAAACCCTGTACCATAATTGTCATTTCTCATAGTTCTGGGTGGACCCTGATAGTTTGCAGTTGTGTCTTGAAATGTATGTCATCGTGGCAATTGACTGAAGCTTTTTCTTGGTAACAGTCAGATTTGAACAGTCCTACCCAAAATGAATAAAATCGGTGCATCTGCTGGTAGGCTTCTCTCACAGGCACTGAGTAAACAATGTCTGTTTCCTAGATTTCATTTGATAAGTCTCATTGACTCACAAGTTTTCATGTTGCTGAGATGTGGAGCTTGTGAAGTTCTTTATATTTTGGTTTTATTTATCAACCACATCCAACAGCAGAAAAACTGCCAATTACAGGAGTGGAATCCAAACTCCAAAATACGTATTAAATATTAAAACCTTATCTTAGCACAGTCTAAATAACAGTCCTAAGGTAAGGACCTTGTGCCACAGTTTGTTATTTTTAATCCTTGGCGTACTCCCTTCTGAATTAAAAAAAAAGATATTAACAGAAAATAGTTACTGGTTACTCTCCCAAGAGGCTACTTTTAACCACTTCGTGCCGGGGCATTTTTCAACGTTGATGATGCTGGGCCAGCATGACTATCATTTTTTCCGTTTTCAAAATCCTTCAACAATTCATTATTCCATTTAACAGTCGTTTATAGCTGCACAGAGTAATCTTTAGGCACTACTCTAAGTTGACAGGTGACCTTCATTGACGCCCAAATATTTCAGCCAGGCCTGCAGCCTTGTAAACAGAGCCCTGATTGTGCGGCGTTATACAACTGTCTGTTGTTCACGAACCTGGCTCAGTGCACTGCTGACCTCTTTTCAATAGGGGCCAGATTAGCGTGCAGCGATGCTGTGTGGCTCATCGCTGCAGTGGTGGAGAGCTTTTGTCCACGGTGGTAACCCGCTTGCTCTGCCCCAAACCCTGGTATACGGTTTCAAAAAAACGCTGGATTATCAGCACTTTTGAGAGTGAAAAATGCCGGTAATGCCCAGCAGCCTGGTCTTTTGTTCGGAATACGGTCTTTTGTTACAGGGCCCTGTTTCCTTTGTCCAAGTTCGGAGACCCTGGCCCCACATATAAACCATACGGCTACGATTTCAGAGTCCCCGGCTGGTAGTGGTTAAAAATGTATTTGCATTTCTAGGGCCAGGGCAAGAGGGCAGATAATCAATTGGCTGTGACCTGACCACACGGTTGCTGTTACAAGTACAGTAGTTGAGCATGTGGGAAAGTTAATGTGGAAATGTGAATACAGAATCATTTATAATCATATACTTTTTCATTTCAAGAAAAAATTGCAAGTGAACTATTTGGAATTACCCACATTTGTTGAAAATGTGCCATTATCATTGTGACTTTCAAGCTTAAGTTTATTAAAGATATCAAGCAAATATTTTTGGTGGGTGATTTTTTGATACATGTACATGTACGTACTGTATATGTAAACTAGAACATTTAAAGCAATTTGTTTCAAGCTCAACAATTACGATTTTGGCAACAAAATGCTTGAAAAGTCAAATTAAAGAACCTGTATACATGTACATGTATGTGCTTAAATTTGATTGGCTCTGTTGACTCCCGTAGTTTGTTTTCATGGCAACCTGAGACATTTTCTGAAAGGGGTATTCATGAACATTCACTGTGTGAAGTGTGGTTAAGATCCATTCAAGTATGTTTGAAGAAAACATCAAAGTTCAGGTAGACCATGTCAACTCTTAGTAATAAGAGTAATTCATCACCAATTTTTTTTTTCCATTTGGCCTCAACCCTCCCCACCCAATCACTTGTCACATCAGGAGCAGCCCTGTCAAATGAAAGACAAAAAGGGAAATGTGGGCACTCCTTCCAGCTGTCAAGACGCATGACTCAGGCAACTGTTCCAGCTTCATTAAAGCCCGGATAGAGAAGCTTGGCCCTCAGGTCTTGCCATCAGAACGCTACCATTGCATACATATGTACAGTGTACATTGATCTGTCAGTGCATAACTGTGGCCCAGTCAAGAATCCTTTTCTGGCTTGGCCCAATCTAGACTCGCACATGGTTGCCTTGGTTCCTGGGATGAGTTTGACAGTTTGTCGAAGCAATTACATAAAGCCACAAATGTGTTGATCAATCACAAGTTAATGTACATGTAAATGCCTTCTATTTTTTTCCATGTGTTCGTTAACGTCGCCAACTTCTTTTCAAAAGTCATGAGCCCGTGCAAACATTTTCGCCTTTTGTTCTCCTTTGATCAAAGCGACCTATTTTAGAGTTGCACATTGTTTTCATGTCAAAGTCCACTCGGCAATGCTGCCACTCCCATATCCCATGTCTGTAGCATTGGCATGTTAAGATGTCAGCAGACTTCTTGTCATTTTCCAGGCTTCACTAAACATTCGTGTAAACATCACACATTTGTTCAGGTCATTAAATATTTTGTGTACATGTATGCACGCTCAGTGTACTTTTCTGGAGTTGAAATAAATCTGCACTATAAAACGGGCTTTTACCTCATCATCTGATTCATGCAGTGACATTGTGACTTCTTTATTTCGTCCTGTGACATTGATTTCTGCGTAAAACGTACGGCTCATTCTGTTACATTCTGCGACTGTTGATTCAGTAAGCAAGTTGCTGTGCATGTCAATTTCTTCTTTGTTTACTTGCTTTTGGGCATGTGATTAGTAAGGGGTATTGCAGCATACATTGTACCTGTGTACAAAAATTGCTTATTTCTGTGGGGCCTTTTACAAAAGTGGCAAGTTTCTTTTGCTGTCCAGTTTACATGTATAACTACTATAATATAATTTAACTTCATAAAATATAGTGCAACAAGCATTTGTGAACATTTTCCTTGGTTTTCATGGTTACATGTACACTGTACTGCACGTGTACTTACTGTGTCACTTGGTGTCTTCTTTATGCCTGATTCAACATCATTGTTTTAAACTTTTGAAACACTGCTTTTAACAATTTAAAAGACCGTCATCAGGACTTTTGTTGTTAAATGTTCTCTACTACTGTGGATCATAGACCTGTAACCGGAGCTACCGGTATAGACATGCACATGTACATGAATGTACATGCTGCACTGACTTTACATACGCTGTGCCTAGTGTGGACCTGTGAGCAAAGATGCATCCACATGATGCAGGAAGGGAAGATGTGTTGTGTTGTGTGGAGTACATTAACCCGTGTCCACAGGATGTTTCCCCTTTTCTGAAAAAGAAGTTTAGAGGCATTTCAAGGTTAGAGTTAACTTTCGTAAAGTGAAGAGAAACGGTCAATCAAACCTTTTACAAAAATCCCCTGATAATCATGCTCAGTTCAAGGAAAATGATTATTCTCACCGAGTTTTCTCAACTACACAAAAACAAAGGAATGTCTGTACAAGTTACATGTATATGTATGTAACTTAAATGTGAGAGTGCTTGTACACATACATGTACATGTACATTGGACCATGATGTGATGCTGGTGCTTTTCAGCCATCTGAATTTGGTGAACAGTGGTGAACAGTACTGAGCAATGTTTCATAATACCTTGGTTTTCCTTGTTATTTCCACCTCCAGATATGTAAAGGATGCGTTGACCCTTGGCGATCACTCTGGCAATCATTTTGTCATTGTTTTACGGTAAGACCAAGTGGCTTTGCAGACCTCTTCAGAACATCACAAGATCCCACAGACCAATCATGAAATTATCACAGTTACCGGTACAACTTCCTGTGTGAATTCAAGTCACAAGCTGTTTAAATGAACTGCAAGCACTCCTTTGTCATTGTACCTTTGCTTATTACCCAGCGCTGCAGGGGAGGGCAAATCATAATGTTATTTGTGTTGAGCACTCACTGGAAACTGTTTATGTAGTTCATTTAAACAATAACAAGGGTCAGTCTTTCCACATGCATGTGACATGTACTGTGTATACTGCAATTTCCTGCATTGCTTATGTGACATATTCCTTCACAAAAATTTGGGCAATGAGCGAATCATTTACCCTTTTCCTTGTGATTGTGTCTGGTCTTGTCTGACCACTGTAGAGTACAACACAGGTAAGACCAAAAACTTGTATAAAAAGGGTAACAAGCTTGTGAAATCACCATGCACGTCCCTATTCTGATATCTCAATATGTTCTGATGTTAACAGAGATATTAATGGGTCTCAGGAGGAGATCGGTGAAGCCCTCACATCCATGCGGGACGTGGGTTTCATTAATTACTTTGGTATGCAACGATTTGGCAACTCCCAAGTGGCAACCCATTTGGTTGGAAGGTAAGTGGAAGTCGTTAGTCATACACATCTACATGTACATGTACGTGTATGATTCCGCCAACCTGGCTCACACTTTGTGTAAATGTTGTATCTTGGGGGCCAATTTAAATGGGAAACTTTGAGGTGCTTGGTGGCGGCAAACATGATGTACATTTATGTCCCACATTGTGGGCCCACTATTGTTTGCATCACGCTTGAGCCACTGTGCATGTGCTCAGCATGATGCAAACAGTTGTGGACCAGTCTTGGGGGATGGGTACATGTACATGTAATCTGTGAAGTCCCTGACTAACCTGATGTGACCGCAGCCCATAACCCGCCCTTCTAGCCAACTGACACCACTGGCCCAACTCGTGTATGCCCACCGATTGCCACAGCCAGGGCCTATGCCCACCAGCCTTGGGCCCTACTGGCAGCATGAAGTACCGATATCAAACCCTAGATGCTACAACTGTGAACAGCCAGGGCAGTATACCTGCAACTGCCCCACCCTTCGACAACAGTACCGACAAATCAGTGATCACCCAGAAAGTGCATCCATAAAGGGAAACTAATTCCGTCTGTTGTTATGAGCCAAACAGCAAGTGGGGAAAGTGTCGGCTTAACTGATTGTGACATCAATGACCGTGTCACATGAGCAGCATCTGATGTTCTGCTGTTGATGTGACCTTTTGAGAACGAACAGTACCATGTCTGCTGGATACTGGGGTCCATGGTAACAACGATTAGGCAGAATTATTACGAGAAATTCCTTGCACCTTATGATGTGTACCATCAAGTATCTCAAAAGTCTCCCATTACTTGCAAAAAGAATGGTATACAGAATATTTTTCAGTCAAAGTGCCTAAGTGCAGTTATTTACAGAGGCCATGCTTTGCTGTATTGTAATTGGAACTTTTCCAAGTCCTGTTAAGACCCTGATTTCATCTAGTTCATTTTTTTCATCAACAAAATAGTTTGACAAGGCTGTAGAGTATCATATTTTTCAAGACAGAAAGCAGATTTATTGTTTTTAGGAAACGTCAATTCCAAGTGAAGAAGTTTTTTTACTTCGAATTCATGTAAATTATACATACATGTATTTGTGACTTTGGAGACGGTTTAAAGTTTTTTTAAACAGCAAAGTCGTAAACAGATTGAATGGATATGTGTCAACTTTTCACTTAATTTGCAGTAATTGCCTTGTAACACTAAAGTTACTGTGGTCTTTCTTTTTCACTCCGAGTGTGATTCAACGTTAACTGAAGCATGGTCTCTTAGGATCTGCATGGGCACATCAGCCAGCCTATATACATGTACATGTACCGGTAGCAGGAGTCATTATGTCATTGTGATCCCAAAGGCGGAAATGATGACTTACTCTGGATCCTCTGCACCTGGGGAAGATTTGCTTTCAGTTTTGATCAGCCATGCTTTCAATTGATACTGTGCAAGTCAATAAACTGACTTTCATTTGGTACCGACTGAAATATTTGTCACAGCACATACATCTTGTCTACGGGGAACAGGTGGTGGTATTTGCACAATTACAGCCACCTGTTGGAACTGATCTAAGATGATAAACTGCGACTGTGACCAATGCCTCAGCCATCAGAATTGTCTTTTCTGCTACCCTGGATACATAGTTATCATTTGCACATCAGACCTGGATATTTTCAGAAATTAAAAGTTTCCAAATGTCTAAATAATTTGCATTTTATTCCCTTTTGACCCAGGGCTGTTCTCCATAGCAACTGGCAAGAAGCGGTGGATCTGATATTGAAACCAAGAGAAGGAAGTGAGTTTTTCTTCTTAATACCAACCAAATATTTCCAAGAAGTAACTTCAGATCATTATTTGCTTTTGTTAACCACTGTATTGTATTTCTTTACTCATTGATTTAAAGATGCTTTGAGGGTAGGAAAAGGAAACCTAAAAACTGCCAGATATTGTTATAGTAAATGTGATGAAACTGGATTAGATATGGTTGGAAAAGTAGAACCACTGAAACAGTAGGATAGGCCTTTTGCCTTGGAAATTCCACTTTATCCACCAATCCACACAGGACACTGGGAACAGCTAATAATTTCAAAATGTGCTATTTAACGTGTAAGATCTGTGAAATTGGTAGGCAGTACTCCATTCAAAATGCTTTGTATGACCTGTGCATCCCTCACCAAAGAGAATAGCCTTTCCAGTGCCTTGTTTGTGGAAGATGGTTGTAAGCTAACATGGAAATACACAGCTTTCACATCCTTTACCCTAACCGAAAGATTTCCCATCCCCTTGCATACCATCAGATTCCCAGGACAACAGATGGAGGGAGTTGTGGATGGCTACCAGAGATGCCCAGGCAGTGATGGACATATTACCCAGGCACAAGACCATCTCGGTGGAGATGCAGCTGTTGAAGGCACTGAAGGAGTCCCAGAACAGCTACTGCCTGAGCTTGCAATGTGTAAGGTTGGGCTCCAAGGCCTTTGCACGGGTGTGTAGGCACACCTGCGTGCTTTCCTGGTACTACTAGTTTAAACATATTTGGGCAGGCATTTAGAGGTCGACAAGAATGACATTTTCAATACCTTCATGAAAATCGCATCCGCTTTATTGATTTGAGGGTCGTCTCTCCTTTCACCTTTTAGCTTTAAGTGTTTTGAAACATGTGGTACAGGGGCTATCTAACTATTTAATTTGGAAGGCAAGTCATACATGTACCGTATCATACTCTCTTACCGTACGTTTCCAAATGTCCAAATTTTTCAGAAATCTAAGTTGAAAGCATCTGAATTCTTTCTAAAATATTTCAAACAAATATGTACATGTGTTTTTTTAAATGGTTCATTTACAACAGAGCCCTTAAACATGGAACTTGACAATGCAAATAGCAAGACGCTGGTCAATTCCTTTTCTTTTCCACTTTTGCTCCTACTGATTATTTTCCAGAACCTTGGTTTAATTTGTTCAATACTCATATCGAGCATATTAGGCCTACTGGGTGCATGTGTATGGTATCTTGTAAAGTAATTAATGCATTACCAGGTACTTTCCTGCAACTTTTACTTTGTACTGCAACTTATTCTTCTCACATTAAAACAGATTCCCCGCAATATCAGACTGCTATACGTCCACAGCTACCAGAGCTATGTGTGGAATCTGATGACAACACGCCGCATCCAAAAGTATGGGTTGAAGGTCATACCAGGGGACTTGGTGCTGAATGAGAACAAGCCAGGTATGGACAGGTTGAAAATTGACCCATACGAACTTCCTTTCAACTCAAATTAAGTAGAAAACTTATTGAAAGGGCTCATAAGATGAATTACCTTAAATGCAATGTTTTGGGCAACTTTAAACTCTTCAGTGTCCAAAAATAATTGATATCCTTTTGAGGTTGTGATGTGCTCTCTAATGGGTGAAATTAAGCATTTTGAGATGGTGCATGCATAATGCAAGATGTACCGGTAGGTCTGTATGTACAGTACATGAGTACTGTTCTGTAGTCTTGTGGTTCTGGTATTCAACCCACAGGTGTTCTGTTGCTTGTGCCAATTGCTTCTCTCTGCTCATGAGCTTATGCACACATAAATGGGTACCTTAGAGGATACAGATCAAATTTACAAATAACAGTCCTGAACCGCTGCAGAAAGTGATTTCATGGTCCAGTGAGCCGGGGTAATAATTGTAAAGGGCTTTGAGACTTGGTATTAAAGTACTTTTTTAAGCAGTGTAACTAACGGAAGAGAAATAGAAGTGCCAATAAAGATACAGTTTTAGTTTTTCAATAGTTATGATTTATCGCTGTATACGGCATTACATGTATCAGCCCTCTAGTAACAAAACACCAGTGAGGGGCCCTGCTATCGAATGGGTAAATATCAAGATCATGCGACAAGTTCTTCAGTCGTCTCTTCCTGCAGTAATACAGGAACTGACTCAAACCACTAGCTCCTAATTCATGTAATTATATGCCAGATTGGTTTCAATATCCTCCCCTCAGATTCTGATAGTGAGCATTTGCAGCCATTGGTAGTGGACACCAGCCAACTGGACGCTTACTCCATCCAGGATGTTGTGCTACCACTGCCTGGCTATGCCATCCAGTATCCTCAGAATGAAGGTGACTAATAGACATCCCCTAGTGTCAAACCAGATGGGGAAACTGGAGGGAAATCAATTAGGGCCCGAAATCATGCCACGTCAACCTCAGAAGAATGCACAGAGAGTGTTGCATTTGTTGACACGTAAAAATACATGTAGGTCAAGTCCGGTCACGAGGTTGGATGGTTTTCAAAGGCTCAAAGCTCATTGTTTCCTGAGTGTTATTTACAGGAAAGAAAGTCAACTTGTCATTTGAAAGGTTGTGAATCATGCTCTCTTGGGGGTGTTCATGAAATGATGAAAGCATAGTTGGAAGTTATGACCACAGCTGCCAATACACCGAAAAAGTTCTTGCTTGACTAATTTTAGTGTTCATGTCTTAATATCATTCATTACTGATTGTCATTGCTGTAAACCTTTACAGGTGACCCAAGTGTTCAATTGAATTCTTGTATTCATTAGAAGGGACCTTGACTGTCGTCTTCATGGGGAGACCTGGAAAGACGATTGTCAAGGTCTGATGGAGGATGCTGAAGTTGACACCAAGAAATAGCTTATCAGAATTTGTGTATGGGTGACCATCACTTACGGGTTATCAGGCATTCTGCTTATCTCAAGCTGTGCCTGTCTGAGTTGAAGGTGTGAATGTACTTTCATCTTATATAAAATCGTAATGACTCTGCCAGGCGTTTCCACTGTGCCTCCAACCCTCTGATTACATTTGTATTTAGAGGATATTTTGACACCTTTACAAGGATTGTCAGTGGGACAGATATTCTGAAGGGGCCTGATGGTGAGTCAGGCAACGTGTCCCAAGGGAACAGGGGGCGAAGTCAACACTCCCTGAAGCTGGTCAGACTTTTTTCCCAGGGTAGCTCTTGACAGATCATATCCTCCAGGTCAAGTATATAATCGCCATTTCTTTGTCAGGAAGGATGCACTGCTTGGCAGCTACCAAGATGAAACTGGCACAGAAAATTTTGTAACCCATAATGGATATTGAAACAGGGAACGAAGTGAAATCCCATGGATGGCTTCTTGCTTTGGACAGGTTTCCTTATGTTTGGTTTGGGGTACGTTCAATATATTCTGTAAGAGTTAAAATTGATGAGAAACCCAGCTGCATCAGCAAGTGTGTGGATAATGATCTCTGAGTCAACGTATGGGCACTGACATTAGACCTGGACTCAGTTACGAAGAAATGCTTTGCAGAAAACTTCCATTTCAAATGTTTGTGCTTATATAATACTTTACATGTGGCTTATCGACACATAACGTGTTTGTTGCTTAATAAAGATTTCCTGTTCACAGCAAAGTTTTGAGCTTATAGAAGCACTGCTAAATTGGGCAAAATCATTAAAACCTTGCTCGACCAGTGCTTCTTCAGAGACACTTCAGCATTTGTATGTAAGTCAGTGGCAGGCATTAAGCACCTACATGTATGGGTGTGTTGTAGTCTTTCATGTTACTACTCAGATGAATATTGTGAATCAAGTTCATCCACAAATCTGTATCAGACAGTTCATCCACAACAAGTTCTATGTTTGTTTTTCCTACCAGCTGGATGCCAGACCATTCTCTTAAAAGCAACCAGAACAGATCCCAACTTGTTACCCTATTCTTGCCCTGAGTGTAGGAATATTGTTACATTTACAGGTATATTCTGCTGTGTTTGTCCATTCTTCTAAACGAGTGAGCAGCTGTTGGATGGGGGGGGGCAGGGAGCCACTAGCTCAGTATCCCACCTTTTTGAGTTCTGGCTAATCCTCCCCCACACACTTTTAGCAGGTTCTTTGATGGCTGATGCCTGGTGGTTAAACACATGCCCCCACCCGCACCGCACTTTGAAAATCATTCCACTGCCATTGGTGGGGGGGGGGGAAACTCATGCAGGGTTGCTCTTAGGGAATGTGATTAACATTGCTTATGGTTACTTGGGTCCAAAAGTGAGAGTTCAAGGTTATTAGAATGAGAAAGAGGGAAACAAGTTTATCAAGCTCTATAGAAATGCATGTAGATTAAGCGCTGTGCATACATGTTCTTCTCAAAAAGCTATTTAAAGGGCTTTGCTGTTAGTTTTTGATGAGACATTGGCAAAAGCACTACAATCTTGGGTATCCTAGGGCATGCTGATTGAGGGCAAACTTAATTTGGGGGGATTTAGGTATTAACATTGACCTCGTCTCAGTCTGGCACAGGATTGGGCTGGAAGAGCCCATTGGGCTGTTGAACCATCTTAATCTAGGCAGTGATACAGGATAGGCCATGTAGTTCATTGGACACAGCCTTGGGTAAGGGGCTATAGGATGATTTAGATCTCAATTACGCACCAAACTGACCGTACCCACCTTGATGCACAAAAACCCTGGTAATCCCTCAGAAACGGTGAAGGATACTTAAAGTTACTGGTGGCTTTAATTGATGTGGAAGTATGGCTAATGGAACATGAGATAAGAAAGCCGATCTTTTGAACAGTATTTTGTGGAGGGGCATTCCAAGTCCACTTCAGAAGTTGTCTGGGTAAATAGCCTGGTATATTTCAGGAGTCTGCATTGACTTTTTTAACAGTCTCTATTAAGGGCAGATAGAAGAATCAAATTTGTAGGTGGCAATTTTTTTCAGGGGAGGATTGGGGAACCCCCAAAATTTGGGAATATCTTTATGTATGTTTGTGGCCGTTTTGAGGGGTGAGGCTACTCAATTTTTGAGTTTTTAATACACTTTGAGAGGGAAATGAAGTGGTCTGTATGGTATCTTTGACACATTTACATGTAGGAATCTCTCAGATAAGGAAAACCATCTTAGAGTATCTACACTGTACATGGAATTTTTGGGGGGCTCGGGCATCCTTGAGGCTACTCTGGCATGCTTGAGGATATAACTTATTTCATGCAGACTTTTGTTTGAGGTGAAGTTGTCCAAAATGTGTTCTTGGCCAAAACATAAAAATGAGAAATGAAGTTGCCACTGCTACACGTACATGTAGTTGTGTATTTCAGGAACTCCTTTAAATTTTGCAGAGTGGAAATCAGCCATATTGGTAATATTGATACATATGTACATGTATTTCATGTGAATATCCAACTTAGCCTTTTTTCATGCATTAAGGAACTTCAGGGGAAAAAAGTTTGTCAATGCGCACTTTGCTCTGTCTTGTCAGATTTCAGATTTAATTCAAGTCAGTCTAGTATGTTGTATCTATTTGTGTTACCACACACTTGGTATACATGTACAAGTAAAAAGCAAAGAGGTTGGCCAATCGGTACATTTTTTTTTCTGTGGAGTATCTTCCAAAAGCTTTGTGATTACACATTTGCTGCAAACCAGCAAAGACTTGTGAAGATATTCTACCAGCATACCTTGTAACATCAATCACTCCTAACTTATCGCTTCTCTATTATGTCTATGTATGAAGTGCAGTGTTGTAGTCAAGACCACTCATGTGTATGACCATCACAAGACCACATAAGACCAGCACATGACCTCCAGTCAGAATTCAAGCCACAAGCTATTCAAATGAACTGCAATAAAAGCATTCCTTTGTCATTGTTCAACCTGTTACTTGTGCCTGTTCTTGTGTCTGGTCTAGCGTTTGGTCTTGCGGTGGTCTTGACTACAACACTGACGCAGTGGCTGCTATATCTGTTGCTTTAGCCTTCGTCTTATTTGGGATTCACATGTATGTGTACTTTTGGTAAAGAAATGTCAAGATGATTATTTTAAACTTTGAGACCTGCCATTAGATTTGACAATCACCATTATACAGGGGGCGCACATCTGAACCCCCAGGATGTCACAGTAATGAGAGTTTGTCTTACAAATTTTCACATTTCCTTGCAGTGGGTGACTGGTACCGGGAGCTCCTGCACAGCGATGGCCTTGACATTAAAAGCATGAGACACCAAGTCAAGTAAGTTTTTTTTTTTTTTTTTCATCTGACTGTTTGGGAGATTGGATTAAGTTGTTATGCAGGAGGGAGGCTGGAGTGAGCTATATGCAACTGAATATGCAACTGAAATTGCCTGAGCTTAACTTAGACTTGATGGTTGTCAGCATTTCTAACCTGGTTGTGCCCATGTCTGTCCAAAAAAAAAAATGGTCAATTCATTACTAACTCTTTGCAGATAGTATTTTGTGCATGCATGCTTTCTTGCCAAATGTCCCATGTTTTGGTTGCTGCAAACAGTGATGTTTCATGTGGTGGAGGGTTGTCCCCAGAGACATGTTACCAAATCTTAAGAAGTATAAGTGCCCTCAATTTATGAACTGGTTCTGCATTCTGGTTTTTACATTTGAATAATTTTTGTGCTTACCAAATTCTGTCCAAGTAGCTCTGAAACGGTGGAGTACATGTACCGGTATATGGGGAGGAAGCAGGTGTTGCCCCTATCAGAGAGACATGTTTGCCAGTTTCTGTTTTAGGAATTACAAACACCCACAATTTTAGAAACGGTTCTACATGTATTTACCGTGGTTCTTTGGGGGAGGGTCTTTTACATGTAAAAAACAATTGACAGTTGGTTTCTGATGCCACTGTTCTGACGTTATGCCTGTAAATAAAGCTTTGTGTTCCAGTGTAAATTTACGTTTTTATTAGCCTGTTTGAAGAATGTCACAAACAATAGGAAGCCGCCATTTGAAGTGGGGAAATTTTGAGCAAGCACAACGATTTCATCCAAACCAAATTGCACCCTTTGCCATAATTCAAACAGGCTAATGGCACTCCCTCTAATGTTAAACTCCCTCTCTCAGAGCAGGTGCAGTGAAGATGGTGCAGTTGTGGTGCCACCAATCTCTCCTTACCTCGTTCTAATGTTGAAAGTGCAGGAATGTTGTCTTCATATAAAAGACAAGCACAAATGTTGGTTAAGCCCGTACATTAGTAGAAGTTAATTTAATGGTTTTCCCCAAATTTAATACCAGAAATTCTGAAATGTGAATAAAAAATGTGTTTCTTCAGAAGAAAATGTATGTAGACAAGCAGCTTCCTGGAAGAGGTTCTTCACTACGTGCAAATGAAGTCTCATTTTTGGTGTGACAAGTCACACTTACTTTTAATAAAGGATTTCTTCTGTGTCACAGAAGATATTTTATTGAAATCTAATGGGATTATCAACAGCATAAAAATACAGTGTGTACCTTCAGGGAACATTATCAGCACACATTGTTGGATTTTCATGCTGTACTGGTAATAAACTTGCTATCAGATTCCTGTATAGGACTAAATCATGCCTGTGTAATCTGTCTTCTGCATGGAAATGCTTTGAACAGGAACCCTAAGACATTTAGGAACTAGCTTGATGCATCAATGTAAATTGTGGACATGTACATGCATGAGCTGGACTTAAACTGAGCCATGATACATTCTCTTGCAGAATGTATTTGCAATTCCTGTTATTGTGGAGGGTTTTCAAATAATGACCCCTTACCTAATGCTGTGGCAGGCTTTCTAATGAGCTTATAATTTAACTCCACTTTCACTCATGCAAACTGTTTAACCTGAAGCTGTTTAGGTCAGTTGTGTTATTAACTTTCTTTCTTTGTTTTTTTTTCCTAGTTTTCATCTTGTCTTGTCAAGAATTGTTGCATCATACTTAAACGGATAGCTGAAAGGTCCAACCGCAATTTACATGCATCTTCGTTGAAATGATAACTTAGGTTTTTTCATGTACTGCATTAAAAGTTTCGACTGCCATTCATAAGACACGCGAAACATTCTCCTTGTGGAGTGTACAGTCCATCAAAGCTGCCATTTGGGCACAAAAGTATTGCTAGTTTTAGAAGGAGACCCCAACCTTGTCCAACTGTTACTCCCAAGGCCCAGTTCCAGGTGGAGACCTTAGTCCATGTCATAGCACAGCATTCTATTTATATAACAATGTGAGCCTGTATTTTTGTTTCCTTCAGATGCCTAATTGATTTTTCCCTCCTGTTTCACTCTCCCTTCCACCACTAGGGACTTTTCATTATCTGGAGCATACAGGAAGATGGTGGTTAAGCCAGACAATGTTTCCTGGTGAGTGCCAAGTGTGATTATGCAATTTTCCTTCCAATGGTTGTCATTTATGCTGTTCTGTCAATCACTGCAGTTACAAGTACATGTTTACATCTAAAGTGGATTGCAATCAAAACATGACAGTTGTCAAAATAGACAGTCTGTTAAATGTCAAACCCGGGCAGATTCAACCAGATTCCCTTCATCTTACCTTGTAACAGTATTATGTTCTTGCAGAAATCATTGACAGTATTTCCCCCACCACTCCCTTTTATTGCCCCTTCCCCATCCCCCTTCGCGCTCCCTTATTGATTACTCCCCTCCCCACTCATACACACTTACACAGTGCACCCCTCTCTGCCCACCCTTCAGATGGCACTGGGCACAACCTGACTATTTATTGTGGTTGTGATGTGTTGTGCACTTTGTGCAAGCTTGTGACCTGTGGATTTTGCACACACAAAAAGGCAGGAAAAAAGTTCTAATTTCTTCTGTCGAGTAGACAAGTAGTGCTTGCTACACCAACTAAGACATGTTTATGTTTTGTGAAAATAATATTCTTATTCAGAGGGCCCCTTTGTGAATTCTGAAATGTGATCATATTCTGATCTCTGTTATTTAATTTATTATTTAGTTAGCCGGGGTAAAGACCAATCATTTATTAAATGTGTTCCCTGAAGGCCCTGGCAAGAACAATGGCAAAATGATCGGTTTTAAGGGCCTGTTTGATTTACCGGATCCTGATTGCAACCAGAGATCTGATGGCGGTTCATTGATACTAGAAGCTGCCCAATGGATGGTACAAAACCGGCATTGGGACCACTCATCAAGATCCATATTTGTGTGAAACGAGCACTTCCTAAAGGTGGAAGGAAAACCCTTGACAGATATATTTCTGGGAAGACCGACAGAATAAAGTACCATAAGGAACTAAAAACCCAATGCACAAAATGGCTTGGGCAGGATTCGAACCCCTGCCGGTTGCAGAGATAAAAGGTTAGGAAAGTACCACTATCCGCCAATCTGACTTTTGTTGTTCTGTTTCAGGTCAGTCGTCCCATACAGCGATGTGACTATCCCCTTAGTTCAGTCAGACCTAGACAGGCTGGAAGGAAAGGAGCTGCCAGCAATGAAATCAGGTTGGGGATGATTCAAAGGTCAAGGGACCTAGTGCACCCCCCCACCTTTTCCCTGAAAGTCTGGTTAATCGGGAAAAACTGGTTCCATCTTGATAAGACTGAAAATAGCGTTGTTGTAGGAAAGGGGTAAAATCAAAAGGGACAAGCAGGTTTCGGCTGGTCAAATATGGTCAATACATGAGTCAAACAGTCAACCAGGGAAACTGCCAACATGTAGGTGCCAACATAATAGTTAGAAATAAACAGCAATTGACTGCAGCGGGATTAGACTTCTACTTTTCTGACAGTCCACACTTAATGTCCGCTTTTGATGTTCCATCCTGGACACCGATGTCATCGTTGAGTTTTGTCTTATTTGAATGGCTACGAATACAGTGAAAATTACATGAGGAAGAGTTTGCCCACAATGTTTCTTGGCATATCACTCAGTGCATTTTATGACCACAGAATGGGAAAACCCATTTCTGAACTTCTAAGTACAGGTACCCCCATTGAGTCAGAATCATGAAGAACTATTTCCTGTAAACCAAGACTTTTGGAGAGTTTTCTTTCCATTTGAATCTTTATCTTTTGATAACTTGGTCCTCTTGTGAATTCATCACATGAGTGTTAAAGTTATTGTATTTGTATTGAATTCATTTTAACTTTGACCGGGTTTAATTTTTGTCTAGTGACATGTATCAACAAAACCAATGCTACACTTGCACTTCCAAATATCAAAGTATATAAGTACATATATATCAAAGTAAAATGGTGGAATAAGAGAAGACATTTTTGTCATCTTCAAAATAAGTATGTTGTGTTTCCCCCACAGTTGATTGATGTTACAAACCAAATGGGTGCTGTCTTCTAGAATGTGAAAAAAGAATGTAGCTGTAATAGACTTGCTGAATATTGAGTGCAACCTTGTCCTCTGTCACTGCTGGATAACGTAACCATCAGTGGTTCTGCCTTTTTTGATACCGGCTTAAGCCTTTTTCTGGTTACTGTTCCAACATGATGAACATGTTTGTGGTTAGGGAGTGCCAAAACGTGCCTCAGTCTTAACTGTGGCCGCAAGATATTGAAATGAACTGTGATAATGGAATTCAGTGTTTTACAGTTGTTGATATTCTCCAGTCTTTGTGACCTACATGTAACTTACGATAATTTACTTGTCAGTGATTTGTGATCAACATGGCTACTTATTTTGTTTTCATTGTGGTTTGTAATGTCTTGTCTACATCTTAGATGGCCACCTCCGTGCCTTGAGGTTAGAGTTCACCTTGAGCAGCAGTTGCTATGCAACCATGGCCATCAGGGAGGTGTTGAAGATCGACACATCGGCTGCTTACCAGGCTGGCCTGAATCCAGCCCCACTGATTGAATCAAGCCCACCATTAGGTGACTATGTACCAGAGGTTGACACATGAAGAAGGGGGTATATTTGAGTAGCCCTGCATTGATGTTTTTCTCAGTGTTGACAAGTCTGTCATGGTGGTGCTGGACTCATTGTCATTTAGCTCCTGAGTGGGTTCAAATTCCACTTTGGCCGACTGACTTGTTTTTAATCTCTGCAATCAAAGCATGGTGATAATTTCTGCTGATTTATTAAAGCCCAGAAAACTAGATGCAGTTATATATAGTCATTCTGGTTCAATAAACCAACTTTTTTTTTGCCTGTAGGGCATAGGCTTTCATTTTCTATGTATCAGAATTCTTTAACATGCACCAATGTATTGTGATCATTATGTGCAGTTTCTTTAGCAAATCATCTTGCCATCGATATGATGATGGGACTTTTGGCTCACAAGCTTCCATCCCAAGCCTCTGAATGGTCACAAGCCACTTCATTGGCAGTGGACTCCACAGGCAGGAGCCTTCCCCATAAGGACATACAGAAGGCACAACGTTCTGCTCAAGCTACTGCCCAGTCATTTCTGGTCAACCTCATTGCAAGCATGCATTGGTAAAATTCTAGCCAGTCATGGAGATGAAAGCAGTGCCTCTGTCTACTTGTTTTGCCAGATGTATATGTATTTAGTGATTCCTCATGTTGTTTTTTTCCCCCGGCATCAAACAATCACTATTTGGGGAACCCCAAGAGTGATAATTACTTAAGTACAGAGTTTGTTAAGTCTGTAGTTAAAACGTGTCATCAACTTCCAATGAAGGTCTCTGTTGCCTTAATTCATATCACGCTCTTGGAACCCCTTAGCCCTCCTTGAAGCCAGAATAAGCCCCAGTGCACTACCTCAATGATGGCAAATATTTGTACTTGGGAAATTGTCCCAAGGCTGTCCAATTTGTAGCCTGTGGGAACTATTTTGAGCACATGTATGCTGCCCATTGTCCTTGGTTAAGCCCACCTGTACTATATGTCGTGGTGCAAGGCATTCTTAAGTAGAGGGAAAAGTAAAGTCTCGTATCCTATGTGCACCAAAACATTTGACCACCGTAAGGATGTCTTGGAGCCAAGACTATTGCATGGCTTTCAAATTAGCAGTCTCTTCAACCAGTTGCATAACCAGAGGGAAATTTCTGATAGGGCACACATTTTTCAAGGGGGCACTTGTAAGAAAATGACCTCAGGTTGCACATAGATTGTGTACATTTTGAAATTTTAAGGGGGGGATATTTATGCCACCAGTGTACTGTCTCCAACTAAATTCTAGCTTTGCCCCCTCCTTCCCTGGCATGCCCCAGTTCCTTCCCCTAGCCGTCTTCAAAATAGTTTCATGATGATTTCTCTTCGCATGCCCTGGAAGAATGCCACTATGCCATTGTTTTACTTCTGTGATAGACTTTTTTTTCATTGTTTGATTTTTTCATTCCTTTTTCATTCTTTGTAGTTGTATGTTTTTTATAGTTCATGTGCCAGTCCACTGAGCTTAAATCACGTTATATTTTGAAACTTATATTCCCAGCATCATCAACTTCCTTGGAAGTCATTAGATTTATGAATATCAAGGAATTTTCTTGGAATAAACATTAACGTGGATACATGCCTAATTTGTTCTGAGTATTGTTTTCTCTTTATAGGCCGTCCAATCCCGCCCACCTGTCTTAATACTGGTCATCTTTTAGCATAATGCGGGACAGTGATAAGGTCACATCAATCAAGTTTTTGATCCAGACCCCTTAAAGACTACAAACTTACTTTCACTGTCAGAAGAATGGATCTGGGTAGGTACGGCCCCCTACAATACTTCCCCTCAAAAAGCAGTTGTTTCTTCAATTTAATGAATACAAATATAAAGAATCAGTAGCACTTGAATGACTAGCTATTAAAGTAAAATTCTGCATAAGCTTTCGTAGCTACAGCTACTTCATCAGGTGCAATGAAGTAGCTGTAACTATGAAAGCTTTTGCAGAGTTTTACTTTAATAGTTAGTCATTCGAGTGCTACTGATTCTTTATATCTGTATTCTACCTGACTGACACGGCTACCCATCACTATATTCAATTTAATGAAAGGGGTAATGGAGGGACAATTTCGTTCCCTTTGCTTCCGCAAAGCATGTGAAATGCTCCCAAATATAGCTTCGCACTTGCAAAAAAGCCCATGAAAAATCCTTAAAATCTCCACCCCTCCAAAAAGTGCCCCCTCTCCAAGTTTGGTTCTGGGCCCCCGTTTGGTTTGCTGCTGGCGCCTTTGAACAACGGACCGGACTACCGTAGCTGCTGGTAAATGAAATGCATGTGGAGAAGGTCGAATGTAGATATTTATCCAGGCACTTGGTCACAGCACTCGTACTAGCTGAAAAAGTGGTTGTGAGGGTTCAAACTGCCCGTGATACCCAATGTCCCCACTCCCTAAAGTGAGGGTCTAAAGCACCGACGTGTATAAAAAGTCTGGACTCGCAATGCCCTTAATCAGCTTATAAAGATCATTGAATCGACTGGCAGCCATTTTACCGAGCCAAACACAAAGCTTTCCTGGCAATGCCCGCCTTTGTTCTTCCTGACGTCAATAAATGGAGCCAACCCACGCATTTGTATTCGGCTCGATAAAATGGCCGTTGGTTGGCTTCTTTTTCATACAAAGGCGTTGCAAGTCCAGGTTTTGTTTATATACGTCCGTGGTTTTAAGGCAAACGCGCAGAAAGGGAAAATAACTCCTTGCTAATCTAACACGTGAATTTATAGTGAACTTAAGCATTTCCAAATCTCCCCCATTCCTTTATTGCCACTCGTGGCGAAAGGGTTTTTGATAGCGCCAGCGCTTGTACACGCTAAGGCCGTTTTTTTTTTTTGTTTTTGTTTTTGTTTTTTTACTTCAGTGAGGGACAAGGGGCCCACTTTGAGGGCCACGCCTATGGCTTGATCAGCCACTGCTATCTCACCTGTTATAATTCCTTCAGCATCCCGGAACAAATATTGTGGGTTTGGCTTTGCATACTCTGTACTCCCCATTCGCTCTGACACGACTGAGATTACATTTTCCCCTGATCGGACTCCGAGGTCTTCAACACTCATTATTGTTTCGTGTCACGAAACTCTAATCAATTTAGCCCAGAGATATCGACGAACTTCTGAAGGGGAAGGGCAATAGCATACCAGAGATGTTTTCGAACAAAAGCTGGAATCTGGCCATTACAGCGCCGATCCAGCAGTTTGTATTTTTGGTCCGCTTGGCGCTCATTCGCTGGAGGCTCGTTGGGGTTTTTTAGCGTTTCTGTGCCAGAAAAAAAACTGGACTGTAGTGACACACTTGCATACCTGCAACCCGTGGTAGAAAGCAACACCAGGAAGAAGCGCCCGGATTAAGAAATACAAAATCAATTTGCTGTTTATTTTGGTAAGGGTTAGGTCTACTGTAGGCTCTAGTGAGGATAAAATCAATTTTTGACGAGAAAATTTGCAAACATTTACCTGTAGATACATGATGGATACGTTACGAAACTATCTTGTTGACGGTTTATTTTTGTGTCAGGTATCCTTGGGCTTTTATCATGATCGTTGTGATCCTGCGCTTCGGCCTTGTATGGCTCGGCTTCTCTGCTTGTCTTCTAATGACCGTCACAGATGCCAATCTGCGTTACCTCCGCACCGTGGCCTTCTCGGCACAGCGAACCCAACGAGTCCCGGCCACCTCGCCCGAGGGAACCATCGGACTGTACGGCCGGATGGTCCGGCCCGACGCCAACCACTTCGACTCGGACAGCGGCGTGTTCACCGTGCCCATCAAGGGTGTCTACGCCTTTGCGTTCACCTTCCACCAGGAGCTTAGCGCTGGCCCGGCTCCGCCCACCGCGGTCAAACTGGTCCGGGAGTCGTCGGACCGCTCCGTGAAGACGGACGTGGTGACAACCGAGGGTCCATGGGCCCCAGCTGCAGGTAGGGCCATCTCCGTACCCGGTGCCTCGGTGCTGTTGGAATTGGATAAGGACGACCAGCTGTATCTGGTCACATCCAATCCGGTGGACGCCGGAGATAACCAACCGATTTCCTTCAGCGGTTATTTATTGACTAGATTGTAGGAAGTTCATGTCCAGAATGTACTGACCTTGATTGTCTCAACCTACTAAAACGACTGCGATAGTTAACACAACGACCAAAAGTATTATTTAAGATGTCCCCCTTTATTAAGACAATAATTAATAGGTTACTTAGCCATTAAAAATGTATAGGGTGGCATATAATCAGAGTCGATAAGGCCGCAAATGAAGCGTTTCTGCGGCGCCACCTTCCCAGCGTATTTTGCATGAGAGAACAGACGGCAACAAAACCAGCAACCCACCCATTTCTCCTTCATTAGTGTATACAGATATCGTTAACATTGGATGTGCTCGTTTTCCTAAGTCTTGGGCCCTCACATATCAACTGGGTATACTATAGCCTAAATTAAAAGCGGTTTTATACAGAACTAAGGATTACTTTAGAAACTGTCCTATTTTCAACAACGCCGATTAAACAATAAAATAGGCAAAAGCCCGCTGAGGGCGTTTTCTTTCCCCCGGTCTCCTGTTGTCTCTTTTATTGGGGGGGGGGTCATACGTGGACGTTTGTGATTCAGTCCTTTTCCCAGCATTATATATGGCCAACATCTGTATTAAATAGTCTGTTTCTCATTCCCAGGGATTGAAGTTACGGTATTCAAGAATTCAATCATGTTGACGAACTGCAACTCCTTAGTGCAACGTAAATCAAAGCCTGACAGGCTCGTAAATTTTCACCAACTTTCGAGATTGAGATATAATGTATCGTTTTTTCCTGCATAACAGATTGTTGTGAATATTAATTTCTGCTGCGGGCAAATGTCCTCTGTACACTCACCTGGCCACCTCAGACCTCCTAAACCTTGAGTTTTGAACGCAGGAAGCACTTCAAGTAATGGGCCCATTTGGTATGGGGTAACAGAGAAAGTCCCCCCCCCAAAAAAACCACCGAATTTGAGCACAGCGTTGTAAAGACCAAGTCAAGACGTACTTGTATTAAACACTTAATCTGGGATCCATTTTGATGTTTTGCAAACAGGTTTGTCTTTTATACCTCATTTTCCTGCTATTCCTAATGATAAAATGTCAGTAAAATGAAACAGGATTGCTGTTGTACACAGCAAAGGTCTGCATTTCCTTGAATAAATACTTTGTTTATTTCGACAAAGTTGTCAATGTCAGCAGGTCAATGTTACTTTTAGTCAATGTGCAAGTCATTTTTCACAACTTATATCATGTCACAAATAATCTTTGAAGTTAGTTCAAGAAATTGAAAAAATGTGACTCACGTCCGGCTCCACGAGTAAACATATGGTATAACTACATGTTAAGCCATTTCCCTTCCTCTGTGTCAAAACGCCCCCAAATTTAGCATGTACAGAAAGAGCCCCCCCCCCCCAACAAATTTCCCTCCCTACGAAGCTGGCTGTGGGCTCGCCCTTTTCACTTGCTGGCGGCCAAACTATCCGGCCAAACTATCTTCTTGACTTTCAAAGTGCCGACACTTTACAAACCGTAATGTACTACCATACCAAGGTACCCGGTTCCCCGGGGTGATAGAGTACTCTTTCGAGTGAAACTAATCGTCAGGGTCGGATCCAGGATTTTTTCCAAGGCAGGCCTATCAGATTACTGTCCCGATTTTTGTACCTTAGCGAAGTAGGATCTCATCTCTTTTCATTATAGATATAACTTCTATTTTAATTTTTACATTGTTTAATTAGACGTTGGTTACTTTTTGTGTGACACAGCCTGAGGGATCTGTGCTGCTATAGGCCCCTAATCGTTCTTTGAAACAAATCCTCATTACCCCTACCCCGGACTCAAAAACCTGGAGACGCCTCTGTATGTGCAGGTTGTAATTATTATTGATAACCTTGTTCGGGAAACTCAGAACTGAAAGGAGTGAAAACCGCCACTGCCAATCCCCTTGCAAGGCGGATGGGTTTTTTGAAGCGACCAGTCCGCTCAGCAGCAGCCTTCTTCTGCAGTCGTTTTGTAGGCGTGTCGGAACGTGGAACAGCCGTACAGAAGCAGGTGGATCAATTTAGTATGGTAGCCTACGAACTAAAACGCTACGTTGGTACGCTTCCTAATGAGGTACCAGACTGGTTGCTAGTGTAAACTACGCATGCCCAGATCAATCCATTATCGATCGTTCCCAGGCACAAGGGTACAGGTATGTGACTTTGATTCGGTAGTAACAACTACATCATAGTACATGTAAGTCAACAGATTTACAACTAAACTTGTCCATGGTTGTGACAGATACTTTCACGAAATTACGAACATGAAAACAGAATTTACTGATGACGTGATATTGATCAGGTAAATATTATTGAACGATATGAAATCATGAGCTCAAATGTGACCCACTCTGCGGAAAAGGGTATTAACGGACACTATGCTTTTTCACACTAAGAGCTCTTGTACATGTGGACAGGGTGACTTTTACTTCTTGGTTTATTGGCGTCTATTTTATCAGTACTTTCACAATTCATACCAAAAACCTAACTGTTGCTGTGGGTATTAAGAGACTTCCTTCTTGGCTATTTCTTTTTTCTCTTTCTGTGTTTAAAGGGCTTTATCTGTGAAAGCAATTCTGTAGGTGTGATGTGATCATGGAGGTAGAATGCAAAAATCACTATATCTCCAGATTACAAAATGCTACAGAGTTCAAACCTACACCAAAATAAAGCTTATAATGTGACCAATTCAACTGTGCCTGTGACTCATTTTGAAAAAAAAATGTCCCCTAATACCCATTTTTGTGGAGCTGGTCACAAATGAAAATTCACCTGCACGGCAAACAGTTTATGCAGTTAGTGTATGCCGTCAGGGTAGCTCCTCGTGGTTTGACGTCTGTGCAGAATAATGCATGTACTTCTTCATATTTACTGGATTATCCCTGCCCCCATGTACCTGGGGCATACACCATGTACAGAGTGTGGGAAGGTGATATTTTATCACCCCCCCCCCACACAGAAAGAATTGTTTTTCCAGTCTGAAAATAAGACCCTTTCTTTCACGAACATAAGACGTGGTATAAAAAATTGCTTCTTTGACAACTTCTCCTGGCCAGGAAATTTCATGATGAAAATTTTGAGGTGAAATTTCCTTACAAAATTTTTGTCATGAAACTTGTGGTTGAGACGGTGTGAACAAGCATGGGAAAGAGTTCCATATATGGACGCTGCTTGACATCCTGTGCACATGAGACTGGTCAGAAGAAGAATGTGTTTTCTGATAAAGAGACTTGCATTTTTCCTCCTAAATTGGAATTTCTGGACATGTTTACTTTCTGACAACTAATAGGTCACTGTAGAGAATGATTACTTGCTCCTGTATATGGAACTCTTTCCCAAGCATGAATTAGTGGGACTGGGATGAACCCACCCATTTTCTGATAGAACAAAAAAGTCAGCTACATGCAGCACTATAATTTTGATCCTCCCAATAATGGTTTTAGTCAATTTCCATTGGTTGATGAGCATTATGGGGAGGGGGGAATTTGTCCCTCCCCCATCAGGAAAACTGAAAAAAAATTAAATGGAGAGGAAAAAAAAGCAAGAAAAATGAACAGGTGGGAAAGTTAACTAGATCACAAATTTGCTTCAAAAATATCTCAGAATGGACCCCTCCTACCATTTATTGTCTGTCAGCTTTGTTCCGTAGGAGGGCATTCCCCTCAAGTCGAAAAAAAAGTCCCCAACCCCCCTCTTTTGGAAAAAATCATTGTTACGCCTATGCTTGGGTCATCCAGTACACCGTGTGTACTAGTTGAGACCAGTGCTATAGACAATATTCCCTACACATTTTTCATCATGGTACTCGCACCCTGCTGAGCACCTGGGCTCAACCTGGTCTACATTTCCATGACCATCATTGAGAGATCAAAGGGAATTAAACTGTGATGTGGACCTCCGCTGAGCTAGAGGTGAGGCCCGTTATTGGCAGAAATGCAAACTTCCATTCAGAATCACTTTCGTCAATGTGATTGACCTTTTAATTTTTTTTTGTTTTGTAAGGATTTTGTTATAACAAAGCACCACCAGTAATGGACACACACAGCTGCTGTTTTGAGTGCTGCACTGATCCATGTTCCTGACCTACCAACCTGCCCCAACACTATGTCTTCCATGGAGCTCTACCAGGTGGGTGGGACTGAGAAGATCCGGAACTTGGAGGAAGGTCTCGCCAAGGAGTTGACTGACCTCCAGAATGACATCGAGGAAAATGACATGATTGGTGGCTCTCACAAAACTGCCAGGTACATGTACAGTGTGCATTTGTACTTAAATTCTTCAGGTGTTGCTGGTTTTATATTCAATAACAAGGATTATGCAAATGTGTATTGCAGCCTGGAAACCAAATAAAATAACCACATTTAGTTTGAGATGACAAGGGTCAGCCTTAACTTTTTTAAAATGGTAAGACTAGATTTAATGCTTTTTTGGTTACCTTATACAGCTCTTGCTCCTTGCCAAAGAGCATCGACCATTTTCGAAAGCAGAGAGAGTTGGTCATAAAAAGAGCAATGGAGGTAAGTGTAACAAGTGAATATGGTTCGCTGACAAATCTCGTTATACCTTGGAACCAAAGCAAATGATTCCAACGTGTATCATACATGTACTTATTCCCTTTAGGTTTTTAATAAAATAGGTAACAGTTTGAAATATGCAATACTGTTAAATTTTGAAAGCATCACAGGCCTTTTGAGCATTCACATTTGGTGAAATGCTGCTCCCTTTTCCATCTGCAATGAGAACATTTTGCCTTGTTACAGGGAACTCCTTAAGTTTGCTCGTAACATTTCCCCAGTAGAATTTCGCCCCAGTTGCGCTACCGACAGAACGCCTCCACATAAGAGATCCAGGCTTATGCTTTCGCTGGTCCCCCTTTAATTTAAACTCATTTCCTTCAAAATTTTCTCTTTACATTTCTGTTATTTACCACCAAAAAGTGGAAGAAATGATAACAGCCCTTTCCCTTGTCAAAAAATTATGGAGATGTATACTTGTACTTTCCTCACAAGATCTGAGCCCCATAATTCTTAGTACATAGCTAAACCTGCTATTTAACACACATGTCTGCAAGAAAATTTTGTGCAGGGCCAAACTCACAGAAATATCTTTGAAACTTGTTATCAACTGTTGGTCATGCTTTTCTTTTAGGTGAGCGAAGCACTTCCTCTTGTCATGCAGGCAGATGTGATGAAGGAAGAGATGGAGATCAGTCTACAGAAGGAGTACACAGAGGAGAGTCTGCCCCTCATTCTGCATCAGGTTGGTGTGGTTACTAGGGTCACTTCATAGCCTAGCCATACCTTGGTCAAGCAAGGATACTGATGGCATGTGGTTAGACTTTGTGTTGAAATTGATTCATAAATATCTCAGTTTCCAGTTTCCCTATTGAACAATGTGCAATGTGACTGTGTATTAACATCTGATAATGCCCACTGTGTAATAATGCACTTTTACCTGGATACGAGACACGTTAATCCATTCCTATTGGTCAAGAGTTTGTGTGCACCATGGAAAATGTGCTACATGCACACTTATTCCATATAAGGAGATTCTTCTGGATTTCTTGCTCAAGGAATATACCTTAAAATGGAGGGAGGTGTTCAGGAAAATGAAAAGAAACTTCATGAAGAAATCGCTTGGAAATGTATCGTAAATTGACTTCTTTTGACTCTAACTAATATGGTATTAATGAATGGGAATGAAACAGGCTCAGGAGAATGAACTCTGATAATGCCCTTGTCCGTAGCTAGGGCATTAGTTGCATTCGTTCTCCTGAGCCAGTCTTAAACACACCTTTAAGACCCGCCAAACACATGTCCAGTGATTATATCCAACAAAATTAGCCTTAACCAGTTCCCGTCAGATGACATGCAAAATGCTCTTTTAGTCTGCATTTTCTGGGCAGTGGGGTAACTGTCTACATGTTGCAGTGGGGCACTCGGACATGTTGGACTTTATGGAGAGGTCACTCAATGGGTTAGTCACACTTAAAACAATGACCAAGACGGACTATCACCAGATGTTTTCCTTTCTTAATTTCTGGAGGGGGACTTGGCCTTGTGTGGGAGGTACATGTAGGCACATGCCCCCTGTGCCTCCCTATTACGCACACCACTGATAAGGGAATGGATGAGTTAATCAAAATGGGGAGTCAGGTTGGCAAGGTAGTTCTTTCCTCACTTTCCACCTCTGTGGTCCCGGGTTCGATTCCCGGGCCGGGCCACATGTGGATTGGGTTTTCAGTCCCTACATGACTCCGTGGGGTTTACCCAGAATATTGCTCCGGGGTTTTCCTCCCACCTCTGAAACTCTAACTGCTTCTTACTGTCTCCCCTTTACTGATATTGGCGAATGTGGGCTGTTTGACGGCTGCCCGAGGTGCCCTTGTATGCCTTCGGCTCAACCATGTTTAAATGTATTCATTTTTCCACACTTAATGTCTTCATTGTAGAGGGCATTTGAACATATCTATATGAAATTTGCACTTTATAAATGAATAAATTGTTATTATTAATGATGTGCTCTTGGTCTGTGCTGGTGGATGTGTACACACGCTATAATCTCCCACTTGTTTTGTGCACTGTATACACAAATTCAGCTTTATGAAGCTTGAATAGCATATATCACTCTGATGGCACCCCAGAAAGTTGCTAAATATGGGGTTTGGTTTAGAAGTGTTGTGCAAATTGTGTACAGATGACCCACTGAGTAAGTGTTTATGGCATTTGGTTGTATACATGTAGCAAAAGTGGATAAATAATTAAGAAGTTTTTTCTTGGTCTGCAGCACTTTTGCGATCGCATCCAGCAGCTGGTGCAGTGCAAGCATATGCACATGCTGCGATGGAAGAGATTCTGTGAGCACACCAGTGCATTGGAGGCCCTCTACGCACCCTACCAGAAACGACTAGCGTAAGTTGGTCATATTCAAGAAACTTGAGATTCCTCCAATAAGCCATTTGCGAGTTGAATTTGAATAAACATAACAATTTAAATACCCCAGACTAAAGACACCGTTGCTATACCTCATGATTCGGGGCAAGCTTTTGCATAGCGACCACCATCTCTGGAATGGACTGGTTCCTTTGTACCTTCTTATCCATTGAGGACAGTGTATTGTTGCAAGGCATCTCTTATGTAACTTAGCAAAAGCTTGCCCCAAGTCACGAGGTATAGCAACAGTGGTTTTGTTATGTTCACGTGAATTTGAAGAACTCTGTGTACCAGATTTGTGTCAAAGTTAACTCGCAAAAGGCTTATTGAGCCTCAACAACGTACAGTATGCTGATTTAACAATGAATGGTTAGAGTAATAAGTTCCCAGTGGATTGCCTTGTAAGAGATCATCCATGATGAGCTTACAAAATGTATGTTTTTTTCATGAAGTGTGAAGGACAATAGTCAGAAGTCATCACTTTCTTGGGAACCATATTGAAAGTCCGACAGCTTAAAAATAATCTGACGCCTGATAAATTTCAGAAATTTGAAACATCAGGCTATAAATGAGGGTTCAAATTCCCTAACTTTTTCTCACAGCTCGGACACCTCATAAGTTTGTCT